CTATAGCATGCTTGGATGATGTGGTGAAGTGAAATCATAGGGTTATGACATGATTTATGATTGGAAATGTAATTGTTGGTATATATCTGTTATGATATATTGACATTGTGACAAATATGGTATCTATATGCTTAGAACATAACTTACCATGATATGTTGAGATTGTTTATATGTTTTTCATAGCACATTGAATATGTTATAATTGTGCAATGGGACATCATATTGCATATGCATAGTAACATCGCATCATGTGGATGTGTGCATGGTTGTCGTCAACACCACACTTGGTGGATGACGAATGGACTCCATTAAGCTTGGTCGAAGACTTGACCGAGTTGCACAGGTTGCATGGTGATTAGGGTTGGGGTTAGCAAGGAGGGATTAGAAGATTCCTCAGGTGCAAGGCCCGGTGATTAGGATACGCACTCCCTTGGCTTGGCCCATGAAGTGTGTGGGTGTACGGGTAGCCCTTTGTGGAAGTCCATAAATTTCGAGTAGATTAGAGACCCTTGGTGTAAGCCCATGAACATCCACCCCATATAAAGACCTTAGGTTGGTAAAAGTCATTTGATGTGCAACATAAATGACGATTTCATACATATTAGCACTTGCATGTGTTGAGGAGTTAGGAAGGGCTCGGGTTGATTTGCATGAGTGAGTCTCATCTCATTTCATGGCATGACATGATAAATTCCAACATTGAATGCATATTCTTACTTGGAATGTAGATGTGAATATGAAATATTGTATGTGAGCATTACATGTGCACTTAGGTGGGGAGTAGTCTCTATAGGAATTACTTTACTGGGCGTGACTCACCCTATACGGGAAAATATTTTAAATTCTGGATACACACCGGTGAATGGCTCTCACTTGGATCCTCATGTTTGAAGAAGGCCGAATTGTGGTTTTATTTTGTGTTAATGTAAAACATTTGTGGAAATAATGTTTTTGGTATGTAATCTTTTGCAAATAATTGTAATAGAACTTATATAGACTATTGTTAAACTAACATTGCATGTTTTGATATAAATATGGATAATTGGACCCGATGTGGCCAACGTTTACTTATAAATGGACCTGGTGTGGTCATTGTTGAATATTAGATCTCGGATGGGTCTTGTTATTATATGATTGCACAGGTTAAGTTTTGGGTAGAGCTTCCCGTACAACGGAGACTCTGTCCGAATTTTGTCAAAATTATGGTTCCTAGTAAATGGGACACAATGACGTGATATCGAATTACTCGATATCCACCAGTATTCTGCGGGTTGATAGGTAATCAACGGACCCCTGGATTTTGGGGTGTTACAATATAAAACCTCAATCAATCAATTAAATCATGCATTATTCATAACATATATCGTAGATGCATTTTTTGTGAAATTATTATGTATTAAATATTATTTTATAATGGTACATGCATACATATATATTACATTGATATAATTGGATGTTTGGACTGAATCTTTTCTAATCAGCATGAGTGACTTGACTAAAGAGACCCATGAAATAGTGAAAAGACTAATTAATCTCATTTGAGTATTTTTAGTCTTCTTTGACTGCAAAGAGTTGAGAAAATATTTGTGGAGTTAAGACTAATCAGCTGAATGAGAAATGACTAGTTGATACATCCTCCACTATGAATAAGACACTTTTAGAATACAAAGAGAACACCAGTGAAAAACACTCAGTTGAAAAAAAACCTATTAAAGGAAAATTCAAACTCTATTGCTTTCATATTAAAAAGAGTTTTCAATTCTAAAAGACTAATTCACCATTCATCAAATTTATCAAATTCTAATTCACAAATTTCCTACAATAAGAAACTTTTGATTTACAAAGTTTTGATAATTACTCAACAGTATCTGTGGGCAATCAAAAGGACATCTAATATATAATTATTATTGAAATGGTGCAATGAAATATATGTACCAAACTTTAAAGAACTGGGAACCACTATTGTACCATACTGAAAGTTATAACATTTAAAGATGAAATTAAAATATTTTGACTATTCATGAAAAATATTACTTTTAGGTCAAGTTACACTTTGCATAAACAAAAATTACAACTGATTGAAATGATTAATGATTAATCAAATCTTGTTGTCTATCATGAGTTGCTTCAATCGATTTTAATTTGGGGTTTTTGGAAGCTAGTCTACGGTTATGAATTTTTAGGAGAAGAAGTGCAGACGAAAACTTATTTCTCTTTCAAATTTTAATAAGAACCATATAAAATACATAATTCAAAATTCAAACAAAATCAAATCTCCTTAATTTTAGATATTTCATAATTAAACTATTCATTTAAAATTCACATTTCAAAATTTAAAATATATTCAAATCTCCTTTATTTTAGGTTTTTAAAAATTTACACACACACACACATGTATATATATGTATATATAATGCACATTCCAACACTAGGACAAATACATACATACAATACATACCTATATATATACATATATAAAGAACAAACATTACAACACTAGGACTCATATATATACTTCTTAGAATATTGACAATGTCACTGTTACTATCCTGGGACAGTGAAGAAGCCCACTGTTGCTAGTGTCTATGTTACTGTCCTGAGACAATGAAAATACCCCAATTTTACTATCCCACGATAGTAACAGTGCCTTTGTTACTGTCTTAGAATAGTGAAAATAGTCCACTGTTACTGTCTTTGGGACAGTGACAATGTCACTGTTATTGTCCCAGATAGTAACAGTGCCTCTGTAACTATCATGGGATAGTGAAAAAATTTTACCGTTATTGTCTAGTGCAGTAACAGTTACTCAAACGTCTATCCCATAAGAAGAACGAATACAAAAAAATAAGATAAAATTTTCATAATACACGGTGTCAATGTGGTTGTCATTGTCACACACCCATAGTGACACTATGTGTGTCTTATCTATATATATATAGCGAGAGAGAGAGAGAGAGAGAGAGAGAGAGAGAGAAAGCGTCCTAATTTGGAAAGAAAAATGAACTCACATTGTCATTATCGGTGAATTCAATAAATATTGTCAACATAAGCTGCTCAAAGAACATCACCATCATGAATCCTTCGGATTTATAACAACTATGAATGATTTTTTTTTAGGTAACAATTGACACAATCTCTTAATAATACATTGTGAAAAAAAAAGATAGAATAAAGAAAATAGAAGGAAGTGAGAGAAGAGACAAATAGTTGAATGAAAAAGACAAAATAAAGAGAGACAAAATTTTAAATAAGGTACGAGAGATATGGAAAGAAAGAGAAGAGATAAAGAGTGATATAGAATATAGAGGAGAGAGGAGAATTTAAATAAATGATATATTAGAGAAGAATGTTAGAGTTAGAGTTAGAGAGAGAAATTAAAGGGACGGAAGAGAGAGGAGAGAGGAGAGAGGAGAGAGAAGTAATGGAATGGAAAATAGAGGAGAAAGAAATTATAGAAACAAAGGTGAGTCTTGAAAAGATGTGATCCATTGAAGGTTAAAATAGGAAATAGCAAAAAAATAAATAAATGGACTATTGGACCTACTTACAAAAAAATACATAACATGTATCCTTAATAATCCAAAAAGATTACGTTTTGATCTATTGACAAAAGAATTCCTCATATTATACTTGAGTCCAATTTTCACTTTAATTTCTCCTAATTTGCCGTTGATAACTTGATTTTCAGCGGTGGTAAAATTTCGATATCGTACCAAATATATTTTTTTGGTACCTTAAAAATTTCCTTAACGTAATTATGCATTTCTTAGTGGGAAAAACCGCTAATGGGGGTGTAACTTCACCATCAACTCAAATTAAAGCATGTTACAGGGGTTAGAAAAAGATTGAATTGATAGGTAGGGTTTTACTTACTGGCAGCAGCAAATCATCAGCTGAATGGTTTGCATACTCCAATTTTTAAACAATTTAACCATTTTTCCTGATGGGTCCAAGAGATGCTAACTAGGCAAGCTTCTTGATTTTAGGGTTGATGTGTAAGTCTTCTAGTTAAAAGAGGAAAATTTCTTATTACATCCTCTCTTATTTAAGTCTTTGTCAAGTTCTGTATTAATGTTCTTCTCAAATTTTGTATAATACATTGTCAGTTTGAGTTTAAAAATTAATTTTGTCTACGACTTTTATATATCTTTGTTGGTCAATACCCGTTTGGTAATATTTTTGAAAATAGCTTATTTTCTATTTTTTTATTTTTTGAGTAGTTTTAAGTACTTTTTTAAATAGTGTTTTGTATTTTTGTCTTTTTTTCCCCCTTGTCCAAGCTTACTTCCTTCTTCCAAGCTTAATCACGTGAATACATAAACACATACATAAGTACATTATTCATATACTAAGCTTCATATAGACCATGCATATAGGCCATGTTTCATATATAGTGATCAAATCTTCTTGTTGCTTAAAAAATTTGCTTCAAAAAACTTTGCAGGCTTGATGGGAACTTTTAAGAAAGTAAAATGATCACTTTTGGCTGCAATTGTCGTATGTTGTGGCCTCAAATTGGTGAAGGCATTACCAGAGGCAGGTTGGAATTGGAGTTTTCTTCTTGTACTATTACTTGAAATAGTCGATTAAAAGAACTCAATACATAAATTAGTCATAATGTAATAGGACAGCACTAGGGCCAAAAGCTTTTATGGGATTTTTGTGTTTCATAAATCTTTAAATATTCAATGTGAATTGAATTCAACAGCAACATCCAATTATTAAAAAAAAATATTTAAACCATATTGCCCGTTTAATCACAGTTTTAATCACGATAAAACAAATGCACTTTGCAAGGGGTACCCAGGGGCCAGAATAGAAGCCATCAGACGCCTCATCCTTGTGTAAAGTCATGCCTCTATTAGATCAATGGAACTATTATGTGACAAATGCAATCTACAGATACAACAGTAACTTAAGACAATTAATCTGAAATACAACAAATCTGCAATTCCTTAAGAATAGTAAGGTCATGACCGTAAAGCAGATGGCAGTACCCCCTAGAGTTGACCACTTTCTGATACAAGATCATCACCATTCAGCATTTCTTGAACAAAAATTTCAGTTGGTTCAAGACATGCTCTCAATGTTTCATGCCCCAGTTGTGCTCTTTCATTATCTCCAAACCCAAAGATTTGTCCCCGTTTAGTGACTACAACGGTGTGGTACAGGCCTGTGCTTACTTGAGAAATGTGGTGAGGCCTTAATCTATCAAGCACTCGAGGCCTCATCACTTTATCAGATGCTCCCTTGTCTGGAAACCCGAGGCTACCAAACCCCATCCAGCCAAAGCCATAAACAGAACCATCATCCACCAAAACAAAGGTTTTCCTCTTACTTGCACACACCTACAAGAGATCATAAGTTTTGTCATATGTACAAATGAGCAGTATTAAACAAACAGAAAAAAGATAGAAGCCAAGGGAACAGAAGCATGATGCAATTGGATGCCTATGATGAATAAAGATGATCTTTGCTCGATAGATTATTGATTTTGTGACTTGAGTCCCATTTTCTTAGATGAAAACAACATAGGCAACCCTCAATACTAACAGGTGATGCTCCACAGATAGCTCTGCCATGGTAAAAAGACAGAAAACAATTGCACAATGCCTACGCGTACAAATGGTTATTGCTCCCCCAAATTACATATAGTGTCAATGACACCAAAGATCTATTCTTTCTGAGAAAAATAGACACAAATTCAAAGACTGATGATGGGACTCTACCATTAAACAATTTATTACACTCTACCCTTCCCAGATAGGGGTTACCATTATCCTTTTTGTAGTGACGAATCTTGAATGTATTCCTAAGAAAATGAACTTGTCCCGGGGTCTCAACAAAGGGGCGTGGAAACACATAAAAACTCTAGAATTGAATGGAAATGGAAAAGATATGTAACTCCAGTTCCTTCGGAAATAATAACATCTTTGGCGCAAGAAGAAAGATATCCATCAATGGGGACTAAAAAGGGTGTCATTTTTTTTGAAGCAAATATCTGCAACAAAACCAAATCCCCTTTTCAAGCCTACTCATATATTTTGTACTATTGGGAACATGCACTTAATAATTATCATAAGGTTTGGGTAAGAATACCATGAGATAGGGAGCATACAAGACCTAATGTCTCTGGTATTCCAAAAATCCTGGCTTGGACAAAGCTGTTTTAATGATGATTATTGGATTTTGAATACATTTATCAAATAATGTTTCTTATCTTCTCCTACATATGGTCTATTTTGATTACAACTGATGCTTCATAACAAAAGGAAAGACATGATTAAAACCTGCACAGCCAACTTGTTCTTAAGGCTGCTCAAGAATGCTGGAGTAGTTTTATCAATCTCATCTCCATGACCCAATGCTCCACAGTAACCTTTGCCCCAAGTGTACACCTGCCATCGCCAATTAAATTCATGACGATTACTCACAAGTGAACAATGTTAAATATGAATTCTAAGCCTTTTTATGTTTTCGATGGACACAAACGACAAAATTAGTTTTGAGTAGAGAGACTCACTGATCCACTAGAATCAAGTGCCACCACATGCTCATCACCAGCAGAGACGCATACCAAATGAATGCTCTTTGTCCTAAATGACTGAATTGCACGTGGCAGAAGCTCATTTCGCTGTTCTCCATGGCCAAGACAAAAATTCGTTCCTGACCCGAAAGAGTAAACTGTCCCATCCTCGGTCACTGCTAGGGCATAACTTGGACCAGCAGCAATCTGGACTACAGAACCAACACACTCGAGCTGTTCCACAATTTTGGGTGTTGGTATATCCAGAGTGTCACCATGGCCAAGCTGGCCATGTGTATTGGTCCCACATGTATAGACATGACCTTGTGTTGTGAGAAAAACACTGAAACTAAGCCCCACGGCAACCTGAAACAAGTTCCATCTAAAAACATTAAACACAGAACTATCCAAGGACAAATAGCACTACTTGAGGCAGATCTAAGCATATATATAAAGAAGGAGAAAAAAAAGGACAAGCAGATAAAATAAAAATGTATTTTGCATCAACAAACATAAAGTGCAAGTCACTCACTCCAAAGATCGGTGTCAACTTTAATTCCCTCCTTTTGCAGAGTTTGCACGACTCTGACTTGGTTTTAGTGGTATCAAGGAGTTACCGTAGAGTAAAAGCCAAACACCAAAATTCATATTACTTCTTACAAAAAATTACAGACTACCATTCACTAGAGACAGATTCAAATGAAGCTTACTTCATGATATTTCTAAGAGGCAAGATATATCATACATTATTGATGACCTATGTCTGATTAGCTTACAAGGAAGACAGTATAAGCTCATGTTGAAGCCCCAACCTAAACAGTACACCCCACGCCAGGGAAAAACAAGAAAGAGGGAACAAAAATTCACCCCTGTAGGTAATAAATGTATCATTTTCAAGTAAATGGATGGGAACCAGGAGTAACAGATGGCCAGCTAAAAGAAAGTGCTTCTCTTAATTTATGAGACTTCAAGGTCAAATGATGGTACAATGCATCCTGGACAACACAGATCATTTAATTGCCAGAAACTGTATAACATAGACCAATGGACTCTGTAAGTTCGAAGTTAAAATGACTGAAGTTTATAATTCACATTTATTATTTGGTCCAGTTTCAGTCAATTTTAATCGACTGGACATTTTATTGTCCACTACAGAAACCAGAGAATGGTTCGCACATAGAACTGACATTGGAGAATTTTCTTGTTTCCAGTGCCAACAACTCTTTGGATTGGGACAAAATGAAGGGACTTTAAATGGGTGTGGTAACTAGAGATGACACTAGGAATTTTTTTTTTTTCGCTGAATTATATACAGCTTGGTCCTTCAGTTTCTGAAATTTCATTAACAAATAAGATCAAATTCTCCTTTTAGATTAGAGCGTGCATATTTGGGTTCCAACACATGCTTTCCTTTTAGCATGTGAAAATGTATAAATAATTGCAAAACAAAAAAAATTAATAAAAAATTCTACCCAACACATGCAGTAATTATTATTATTTATATCAGAAAGAATCAGTGTTATTTGGAGAATTGTCTCTTATATAAATCTCTCAATTCTCCGAAAGATTATTATAATAGTTCCCTCATTTGGTCAACCTTCAAGTGTTAATTTAAGAAGAATAAGGGACAAGAAAGATTTTGTAACAGTCCACCATTTTTGGCATTTCACAGGAGTGGGGTGCTATGTGAATGTGCAGGGCACACTCCATCACAGTCCTTACTATAGCAAAGTCTATTTGAGCATCAATGCAAATCCTCTTCACTGATTACATGATATAGACAGCCACCACACCATGCACTTTACCTGCTTGCAAGGAACTCCCTTCAATGATTCGACAAGCCTAGGCCTGAATATGGAACGACTGGTATCTCCGTGCCCACAGCAGAAGGATGAATTATCTCCACATGTGAAAACCTGCATGAATAATTGGAAATTACATTTCAAACTTTTGCTCCTGATAAAATGACAAAACAAAAAAAAAAACAAAAAAAAAAAAAAGCAAGCATAATTTCAATACTTGAATCTCCAATAAAATATTAATCCACATAAACATGCAGATATGGTGGTTATGGAAAACAAAGATGAGGTTCCCCATTAAGGGATCCGACCCAAGGGATCTCCAAAATGCACACTTTTTAGAGTATCTACGCATTTGCACTTATCATTTTGTTCAAAGTGATCTATCATCAATGCAGCAACTACTGAAACAAAAAGTTTATGTTCTAACAATTAAAGCATCCAGCCTAAGAATTGCATGATACTGCAGACATCCTGCTATTCTAGTACATGAGATAAGCACATGTTAATGAGGAAAGAACTAAATTATGGATAGACTTCAAAAAGAAAAGGGCTAATTACTCTTCATTTGAACAACCAAAGAATTGCTCAAATGACCAGCAAATATGCAATGAACCCATGCAACCAAACAAATAAATACTGCTTTCAAAATTCGCACCGAGTTAGTTTTGTTTGCGATTGATTAAGCAATTTTGACTAAACTCAGGAACGATGTTGTTCATGGAAATTCTCCTTGGATCTAGGACTTAGGCCCAGATACCGTCAAAATTGATAATCAAGATCATTGATTATGACATCTGGAGCACATGAAATAGCTATAGACACTATACTTCAAAATATGTTCAAAATGTATGAGCAATCACAAACCTCTCCAGACTGCGTGACAAAAGCAGCATGATTATGGGAGGCCGAGACATGAATCACTTGTGCTGGAGATGGGAAATTGATTCGTGTAAATGCTACACATTGCGTTGTTTCAGGACCATGACCCAGAACACCACACAAGCTGGAACCACATGAGTAGACTGCAGAATCATTGATCAACAATGTGTGATATCTTCCACTCCAAATCTGCATCTGTTGATAACATTTAATAATTAATGACAACAAAACATCAAAGTCATCTAACTCTTAAATCAACAAAACTAATATAATAATATTGTGAGTAAAAAATTATGGTAGGAAAATTTTCAAGCAGTTCTCCTTTCTTAAAATGCAATCGTGGGACTATCTTTTCCATTGTTGCAATATCACTTGATGCCCAGAGCCCTTCCCTCCCTCTACATGCCGTGTGAGCACATCAACTACTGTGGTATAACGGCTTTGACATCACAATCCAACATTATGAGCTAAAGCACCATAGGAATATGAATATTACACCATAATAATGAGCATGTAATGCGTCACATTTATTAAGGTCATATTGCTGCAAGAACTTCAATTTTAAGCAAGTGTATGATCTATAACAAGGGAGAATAGTAAACCTGTCGATGTAATGTAAGTGACAAAAAAAAGAAAGTGAAAACCCAAGTTAACAAAACAGTGCACAATTCTTAATCATTTAACACTAAAGGGTAGTGTTCAAGAAATAGTACATTGCCTGCTGAGGTTTCAACAATATCAGAGGACTGCTCCACCGATTGCAAGAACCTCAAAACCCGCTTCCAGATCCCACCACACCGATTGAAAAGCTCTTTCTGAGAATTGGAATGCATTGGAGCATATATAGGATGAGACTCACACAGATGATATGCCGAGAAATCCACCAAAGACCTGAATTTTTTAGGAAACAAACCATGACTCCCTCTAAAAGCTCGCGACGTCAGCTCTAAACAAACCAGATCAAACGCGCTCAAACGACCGGAGGTTAGGATTTCGAAAATCAGATGCTGTGGCAAGTCCTCAATCGAAATTGGCTGAAATTGATCCGCCATTTGTCGAATATTTACGGCGAGTAGGGTCGATAGAGAGGGCTAATGATCACTATATCAAAATTTAGGCGAAATCGGAGACAATTAAAGCAATCTATAAAGAAAACATCAGAATGTAGAAAATTAGACGAAATTGAGTGTAAATTAACAGGTAATCGATCCAACATGAGATGGGGCAAATTTTGAGCTAATAAACTGTACTAACGAAGCAAAAGCCAAGTTTCGATCAAAGTTGAGGATTCGACAATAAGAAAATTTTTAAAAATTGCGAATCTAGTATCAAATAGGTAGAGTTAAAGACCGAGAGAGAGAGTTGGAAACCGAAAGCGATTGAGAATGAAAGATAGATCAGAATTCGGAATGGGGTTCGATCAAGTAGGTAGAGAGTAGAATTTTAACAGTCACAGTGGAATCATGACCAGAGAAAAGAGGGGAGAAAGATAGAGAGAGAGAGACCTGTGACAAGCTTTTTCTCCCTGCCACTTTTTGCCTATTTTGCCGCAAAAGAAATGAAAATTGAAGAATGAAACACGAGAATCAATCAAAGGAAGAAAGGGGAAGAAGAGAATAAAGAAACAACAAGAGTGCTTGACGACAAAGTTTCGTCCTTGGAGAGAGAGAGAGAGCGCGAGAGCAAAAGTCAGGATTTATAGCTTTCTATAGTGCAACATTTCCTGTGTCATATCTTTCGGGGAGAGAGAGAGAGAGAGAGAGAAGGAATCTTGTTTGATGTTCATGAGTTTGGCTACGGGGATTCCAGCTGCTCTCCTCGCTCATTCTTTTTATTGTCGCTCTTCTTTTTATTGTCGTGTAACGGTTACGCAACGTGTGAGCAATGTCACGCGGTTAACCGCTCAATAATAATAATAATAAATAAATAAATTTTTACTCCTTTAAATAATCACTCTCTTGCATAAAAAAATAATTGTTCCATATTTAAAAAATAAATAATTTATTTATTATTAAATAATTATATCATATAATAATATTAATATAATATACATGATATAACCGTTATCATCAATATTTACTCTTCATCTTCTTTCTAGTTGAGGTGGAATAATTCTATAACGCCACATCAACAGACAAATGAAATTTTTGGAATAGAGTCCACATAGGAGCATTGTTGAGAATAGGAAAGTTGATGGAAACAAACACGCAAATGAACTTTATTTTGTTAAACGGTTCACTCAAACTCAATTTAAGTTATCAATTTGAACTTTATTTGAATTCAACCTCTAACACTAATTCTTCAATCCAAATATTATATGCATTTGCAAGTTTTGAATTTGATGTACACAACTCGGATTGTAATTTGGGTCTACTAATTCAGTTGTGGAGTTGAATTTTAATTTAATTACGAAATTTTTTTGATAAAATTAGTCTGAAATATAAACAATTGACATCTCAGTCTTAACAGTATCTAAAATCTAAACGGGACCCATTTTTTCTTACCCAACTTGAATATCAAAATCTGTGTCCAAAAAGATAAAATTTTGAATTGGATTAGATTAACTCAAACAAGTTCTTTTTGTGACTTAAATTATATCATCATGGGGGGTTGAGCATATATTTTGAATTCTACAAATAGTGAGAGAACTTAATTAATTATTGTCAATCCTTATCACTTCAAAAAAATGGCAATTAATTAGTAAAGAGGATTTGAAAATGCACCAAATTAATTTCCTAATTAATCCATGATGGTGGTGGATGGGGAAAGAATAATGTTAGATAGACTTAAAAATAAACTTAAAAAATTTCAACCATTGAATAGGCAGTGAGTTTCAATAATACTGGGATCATAGTGATATTGCGTTGTGAATTGGTATTTGTTGTTATGGGTCCAACTCCAATCCTCACGGAAGGCTTTGGAACTGGTCATGCCTTAGTCGCTAATTAAACTAAATTAATTCTTTAATCACTTAGATAATGACATAGTCGTGCCACAGGAAAGTATGCCATGCCAAGTGGTCATGCTTTGCCTTCTTGGCTAATTAAATCAATTATATGTTAATGCAGGATTTCGTCAACAGGCAACAACTAATAGCATTTTTAGAATCACTCGAAGTGGTCAAACACAGATAAAGATCCTCCGGTGCAGAACTTTGACAAGAAAAGTAGAATGAAAAGAGCTTTAACAACTCTAGTGGGTACCTCGATCTGAAAAGCGTTGACTTTCTTTGGATGGATGGGATCGCTTGCATGATCTAGACATATATCTTCATCACGTGTTGAGTTGGCCTAAATGAAGGCGTGTTTCACTCGTATGAATATGTAATTGAGAAGTGAGGGGAAGAAAGGGAACCATCCATGGTGTTGCAGATGTGGAGCCATGGCTGCCTTTACTGCTATGAAGTTGGGGGTTGAGTTGAGGTTTGATAGAATTTGTTTTTGAAGGTGATTCCAATGGTGAAGGGTGTTGTGGAGGCCATTGCAAGTTTGAACATTTCAACAATATGCGGCGAATGGGGTGGAGTAAGTTTTCTATTTCTTGATTAGACGTTCAGCGAATAATGTTACTGATGTTTTGACTCAATTATATCTTACAATGTAATGGATTGTTATCACGGAGGGAGGAATACCCAGATTTTTGGCCTCCTACCTCCGAAATGATTTGTAAGTTTTGTTATTCAATAATTTGTTATCATGTCTGCTTACACCCAAAAAGCTTGTGAAAGTCCACGACTAACAAAACAATTAGGGGAGTAGGACTCTAAGAATTCCAAGAAATTGGGAGATGTGTACATCATGAGTCACCAGTTGGAGACGATTCAGCACACTTCTACACATCTCAAGGGTAAAGGTCTTGATCACAATAATGGCCAAAAAAAAATGATTTTGACAGTCAAATTTCATTCCTATAAATAACAAAAGTATTCACGATCAAACACAACAAAATCTACAAGAGCCAAGTCAGCCTACCTTATATTATAACTCTCGAGCAACTTTATTTTACTTGAAAAATTATTTAAGTTCTTTGAACCCTAAGACATAGAAAAGAATTCAGAGGTAATCTTACATCTCGCTAGAATCGCCTGAACAGTCACAATTTTTAGAATCTCACACTAGTTCAAGTAGATAAAGTCGTACGTATTTTGATCTTAAGTTCAATTGAACTTTGACATGCACACAATCCAAAATATACCAAACATTTTCATATCAAAAAAAAAAAGAGCATTGATAAATCCTGATGAAGTTATGCTTAAATATTTGAAATTTTATTGTAGATTAAGCTTGTTATTCAGTTTTTGTTTTTGGAACAAGGCCTACTCCTTAGCATAGCTTTTGAAGGGAGGTAGAGAGTAGTGAGACTCAGTGTGATGAGCTTTTGAAGACGAGGACAATGTAATTCAGTTCATTTGAAGCTTTTATTACATGTATAGCTTGAAACTACATATGACCTACTGTGCTCTTAATGGGCAAATTCTATCTTCATTCACTCTGCTAGAGCTAGTGATTCAGCTCTGGCTCATCCTCCTTGTTTTGCCTTGCAAAAAGCCGTCTTCAATTTCTTTTGCTAATAAGCCTTCACCATCTTGCTTCTCATGTCCCGGGTCGGTTCATAGAATAAATTTCCTTGCAGAGAACTGTCTTTAATTTCTTTTGCTAGTAAGCCTTCACCATCTTGCTTCTCATGGTTTGGGTCGGGTGAACTGCCAGTAAGCCCTCACCATCTTGCTTCTCATGTCCGGGTTGGATTCAGAGTCATGTTCCTTGATTTTAGAGGTCCCCTGAACATTTTTTCGTGTTTTTATCATCAGTCTGATCTTTTTTTGTAGCCCCATGAGAGACAGGACTACTAGGCACATTGTGGGCCCCAGCATGGATCCCACCTGCAGTCCATGGACCACAGCCACCATTTATTGGTGGAGGGCAACCACATGCACCAGAGTGTGAGGGAGGTGGGTAACCACATCCACCACCGTAGTTTCCTTCACCATTTCCACAACCTGGGTTGCCACCAACACAACCACCGGGTGCACCAATTGGGCAACCATAGCCAGGATATCCACCACAGTTTCCTGAGCCCCACTCGTTACCAGGCTGGCCACAACCCGGTTGGCAGCTTGGGTTGCAATTGCAACCGCCCCATGGTTGATTCTCACAGCCACCCTCTCCAGATCCTCCACCCCCACCACAGCCGCCACCATTACCACCTCCACTGCTACGCTACCGCTACCGCTTCCAGACCCGCCTCCTGAACCATAACCTCCCCCTGATCCGCCTCCACCACCTAAACCACAACCGCCTCCCCTTCACCTCCACCGCCACCGCTTCCAAACCCGCCCCCTGAACCATACCTCCCCCTGATCCGCTTCCACCACCTGAACCAAAGCCACTTCCTGAACCACACCTGAACCAAAGCCGCTACCTGAACCAAAGCCACTACCTGAACCATAGCCACCCCACCACCACCGCCTCCACCCTCCACCTCCACCTCCTGACAACGTTGTCACATGGCCTTTATGGTTTTGTGGATCATTTGTATTGTGGTTGTCCATGGAGTCCAGGAGGCCCCCGACGAGCAGATGCAGAGCAGAGACTCAAAGATAACAAAACCAAGTATCCAATGGAGAGACTGCATTTTATTGAAGCCATTTTCTTTCTGCTGAGTGCTTTTCAATGGTTTGAAATCATGAAGGGCTTTGGCTTTATATAATGCTGAACTAAGTTGGTTTAAAGTAAAGGAGAGAGAGCGAGAGAGAGAGACGTAACTTTAGGCAGTGATTGTGCCAAGCACACTTGAGCCTGCATCAGTTTGTTCTAAGAATCCGGACTCATCAATCTTGTGTGGATACAGGAACTAAGGACTCTACTGGCAACTGCAACTCCTTAATAGTTACTGCCAACTTTTCTTTCTCTGTTTTTTTTTTTCAATCTCAACAAACAATAAAAATGTGTGCGTGAGAGAGAGAGAGAGAGAGAGAGAGAGAGTCTTCAATCTGCCTGGGTGTTGCTTCCATGAATTTCATTCAACACCTTAGCTACATTGACCGCTTTCTCGTCGGGAAGTTGCATGCAGAAGTAGGATCACAAAAAGCCAAGAATCCAAACCTATATAATATATCTTCTTGGCAGATCACTCAAGACCTAATTAGGAATTCTACCAATGGTAAAATTCATCAGTATCGTTGGATAGTCAATTAATTCTATTTTATATTGACGTTCATTATCAATTAAAAAATAAATATTCATTAGATCCCACATTCAATTTCAAATAAGTTTAAGCAGGCATAACTCCTAGTCCTAGGAAAAATGGTTGCTATCGCTCCATGGTCCTATCGACGGAATGTCTTTTGTGATTAGTTTTAACAACACTTGACATCAACTATATCAAGTTATTATTGGATTGTCTTGCAACCTTCTTCGTGTTCATGCGATGATGGCTTATAGAGGACACACAGACGAGACTCCATGACTAGCACGAGGGTAGGCAATATACATTAGTTATGGGCTTCTTGTGCACGCTTTTCAACTACCTTCATTGCCTGAACCAGCCTCAACCTCAAGGTTATCATATCATGTATATTTTTACCATCAACAAGATCATACAATTCAATTTTACACACATCTCACACTCACAATATCTGCCACTAAAAAGGCAACCTTAGTGCACCAAAACCCCTCACTCGTCCATACTCGAACTTTTTGGGTTCAACTCATAACAAAACACCTTACCACACACCAAAACTTGCCCTCTACAACATCCAACATTACTCATTTAAAATTTTCCATTATGCTTTCTTTTTTTCTTTCTATTTTGGTTCAACAATTAAGAATATCTGAACTAGCTTACGCATACTTTACATTTCTAGTCCGATTAAAGACAGTTCATCCACATCAGGACTAACGTATTCATGAGATATAAATATTTCATGGCCTAACCCTAAAATGTTACCCAGCTTCAAACTCAATATGTCTAAGTTTACAATTTGTCCATGTTACCGGTTTGAGCTACCTTGGGTTAGCTTTATGCTTTTTGAGTGATAAATTTGTTTGGACTAACTTAGAATAAGATTCTATACTGACTGATACATTGAATAAGATTTGTTTGCACATGCAATCTGGCTAAGAATTGGCCAAAGTTCATCCTTGCTTAGATAGTGGCACCAGATAAATCTCTGCTTCTAAAACGTTTAGATAGTGGCACCAGTTCATCATTGTAACAAATTTGAAACTGTGAACACCGAACCACCCAGACATCTATTTCGCTATCAACTCGTCAAACTTTTTATCTTCCAAGCCCCAAACCTCTTGTTATTACATAGACAGAGGAATTACAAGAAAAACAGATACCAAGTTTGGAAACAGAAGAATTACAAGAAAAAAAGATACCAGTTCGGAAAACAGAAGAATTACAGGAAAAACGTAGTTTTATTATGACAAGTCTAACTTCAAATCTCCTCACCATTGTCTGCTCCTGATCTCAAAGCTTCGGCCATCATACGTTCCCTATTCTGAGTTTGCCTTTCGACAGCTACCATATAAAGGCCTGACAAGCAATGATCACCCAAATAAATTTATGAGAAATGGGAAAGGAAGAAGAATAAATGACTGGCGCAACTGTTTACATAGACTCAGGCAACCTTGATTAAAATTCAACTTGAGATACTGAAGAAAGTAGGGACAGCATACCAATGGCACTTCCGATTGCACAGAACCAGAGAACCCTCATGGACCACTTATCACTAATAACACCTCTGGTCATATCTCCCACTGGCAAGACGGTTAAGACGACTTACATTAGCATTTCTTAGTGATAAATGGGTAATAGGATATGTTGTATGCTAGATTTCAGCTATCAAACAATATAGTACAAACGTATCTAAGGATCAAAAGACTAATAGCCCGATCGTCAGTGCAGATGATAGGGTGAGATGAGAGCAAAGAACACTTCAAATCCAAAATACAAAATAAGCAAATAATCAGGATTCTATTTTGCAATGTAAATTAAGAATACCTTCTGTTCTGAATTTGCCAGCTTTTGAATTTAAACTTATACAAAAGCGAAGACAAATATGACTGACAGATAACCATATATACTTTGGCCTTAATATTAACAGAAAACTTGGTTTGGCCTTTCAGTAATTGAAACAGTCGGTCCACATTTTGGTACAGAAAAATTATAGAAATCTTGACGACAAACAACATCAATCAGGATTAGTGTTTATTGCAAGGAAAGCAAATTTTCTACAACCACTAAACTTAAGGAGGAGAGATGAATTTTGACGCAAGAGTCTATTAGCGCGTGTTATGAGTCCAAATTTTTCTCTCTATACTGATCTGGTGTGGAATTTCGTAAACCTGACTACAACATAAAGAATGTGTAATTGTAATCATAATAA